TATACTCTTCCATTAACCTCCTCACGAGATGAATGGCCTCTGTAGTCGATCTGCCAGGCATGAAACCAAACTGGTTCTCCGAGATGCAAACCTCTTTCCGCACCCTATACTCAATAACTCGCTCCCAAACCTTCATGGTGTGGCTAAGCAGTTTGATGCCTCTGTAATTCTCGCAGCTCTGAATGTCACCTTTGCCTTTAAACAGAGGGACCAAGAGACTCTCCCTCCACTCATCAGGCATCCTTGCTGTCCGGAGGATAACATTGAAGAGTTTGGTTAACCAAACCCACGCAACACGACCCGCATGCTTCCAAAACTCCACTGGAATCTCATCTGGTCCCACAGCTCTCCCATTACGCATCACGCGGAGAGCCTGAACCACCTCTTCCAAGCAAACAACAACAACCCAGTTAAATCCCACAAGAGTACGCAGACCTTACCCCTACTTGAAAGTAGAGAGGCTGTTTCACCTCTTCCAAGCAAATGCGCCGGCAATACACACGAGGTGCCCCAGGATGTCCCAACTCATCAAGAACTAGCCTCTGGTCTCCTCCTGCATTTAAGAGTTCACTAAAGTACTCCCCCCAGCGCTTAGCCACCTTGGCAGTCTCAACTAACACTCTACCATCGCTGTCCTTCACGCATCTCACGTGGTCTAGATCTCGGGCCTTCCTCTCGAGCACCTTAGCAAGCCGGAACAGTGGATTAACACTGCCTTTCTCCTCAATATCCTTGTAGAGGCGTTCAAAAGCGGCATTCTTTGCCCTCGTTACCTCTAACTTAGCTTTTTTACGCGCTTTCTTGTACTCCACTCGCAACGCCGCTCTTTCCTCCTCAACATTGCAGCCCATGTACCTCAAATACGCCACCTTCTTAGCTTCCACCTTACTTCGGACTGAATCGCTCCACCACCAATCACCCCGACGCCTACTCCCAGAGCCAGAGCTCACACCTAACACTTCCCTGGAGGATTCCCTGATGCAGTTAGCAGTCTGCACCCACATATCTGTAGCCTCTCCGGTCGATTCCCACGCACCTTTCTCCTGCACTCGCCTGGTCAACTCAGCGATGTTCTCCGCACTTAGCCTCCTTCACCTGATTTGTGTGTTGCCACTCAAAGCTCTCCTATGTTTCTCCCACCTGATCATAACATCCATCACGAGAAGCTTGTGTTGGGTAGTGACGTTTTCACTCGGAATTACTTTAGCATCCTTGCAGAGCACCCGATCACACCTGCGCAAGAGAAGATAGTCGATCTGTGTCGTCCCCACTCCACTAACAAATGTAGCCAAATGGTCGTCTCGTTTAGGGAAACACGAGTTAGCAACCACCAAATCACTCGCTCTGGCAAACTCCAAGAGTGAAACT